ACTCAAAAGCAACTTCAGAAGCAAGTAACAACTGAATTGAAGCAGAATTAAATAGCTCAGCATGACTGAGTGACACTGAAATGCCCCCAAATATCCTTAAAAGGTCCTGTCTGCACTTCAGCAGGGATTTTGTCAGCATCACTTCAAACTCCAAACCAAACATCCACAGACACAACTATTGCTAAACCCCCACATGTAACTTCAAGTCATAGAATCATAGAATAGTTAGGGTTGGAAAGGACCTTAAAATCATCCAGTTCCAAGTCCCTTGCCATAGGCTGGGACACTTCAAACTAGACCACATCACCCAAGGCTCCATCCAACCTGGCCTTGAGCACTGCCAGGGATGGGGCAGCCACAGCTTCTCTGGGCACCCTGTGCCAGCGCCTCAGCACCCTCACAGGGAAGAGCTTCTGCCTAAGAGCTCAGCTCAGTCTCCCCTCGGGCAGGTTCAAGCCATTCCCCTTGGCCTGTCCCTACATCCCTTGTCCCAAGCCCCTCTCCAGGTTTCCTGCAGCCCCTTTAGGCACTGGAGCTGCTCTCAGGTCTCCCCTTCAGGAGCCTTCTCTTCTCCAGGCTGCCCCAGCCCAGCTCTCTCAGCCTGGCTCCAGAGCAGAGCTGCTCCAGCCCTCGCAGCATCTCCATGGCCTCCTCTGGCCTCGCTCCAACAGCTCCACATCCCTCTTGTGCTGCTGCCCCAGAGCTGGATCAGGGCTGCAGAGGGGGTCTCCCCAGAGCACAGCAGAGGGGCAGGATCCCCTCCCTCAACCTGCTCACTCTGGGGTCATAGATTCAGTCAACTCACAGAGACAACCAGCATCTGGTCCTTACAGCATCAATCCCTCATTGTCTCTGGAAAGATTATCTTCCTTTATCAGTCAACTTGATGCCACATTATAATCCAGACTGAATGTGATGCTCTAGATTCAGCTTTAAATACTACAACTAAGGACACAGATTGGGAAGAGGCAGCAGAACAGGGGCGAGACAAACACTTGTGAACACTGGCTTTACTTCAGAGTTGTACTTTAACGATCCCAAGCACATCCTAAAATTAGTTTCTCCTTAGTCACGCCATCAAATACATGGGGTTCTTAAACTGGTAACAGCCACATCACTTTTGCACATGCATGTTTCAGGAGAAACTCAAACAGCTCCAGCCTAAACTCCCATGGGACAGAGAGACCCAGCAGCCCTGGATACTCATACCAAGCCCCATCCAGGTGCCCAGGCACACACTTAGCAAAACCACCCTAGTTTTGCTTTGACCCCAGAAATCTAAATGCAGTTTCTGCGTCTTGTTGGCTGTGAACCAGTTTGGACAGGAAGGTTTTTACCTCATCTCTCGCTCTTCGTGCTGCGCAATGAGGTTGCTGTAGAAGTTTTCCAACGTCACCTTTGTCATTGTAACTCGCTCCTTGGTGTGGTTGCTCATGGAGGAGCATGGCGTGGGGCCCGTCATTGCCATGGCTGTTACGAAAGAAAAAGGGAGGAAACACTTAATGTCAGAAATAACAAATAACCTTCCAAGAGCTGCAATCGATGAAGTGATGCTGAATCACAGAGCTCAGGTTTTACCAACGCCAACAGCTGCCTAAGCTACGACTAAGCAGAGAAAGGGCTTACAAAGTACAAGCCAAACTTCCTGTTTTGAACATTTTTGATCTGAAAATAAGAGGGAAGGAAACTTAAGAAACACGATGCCTCAAAAAACCGCAGTTTCAGGCAGTCCTGCAAGGGTTTGTTTCTCCCAATACATCCTATCTTTAACAGAGGTTAAAAACTCAGAAATATCACTCTGAAGCATCTCATCCAGAAGTTTCTCCTCCTGGAACTCTGGCAGAAACAACTCCAGCAGCTCCCTGCTGTCCCTTCTGCTGGGAAATCTATCAAATCCTGAAAGGCAGCCCAAAACCAGAGCAACTGAGGAAGGAAAGAAAAAGGCATTCAGCTGCTCTTAAGCATTCTCTCCTTTACCAGATGCTTTCATAAAGGCAAAATCCAGAGGAGCCCAGCTTTGAACAAGCTGTAGTTAAAAAACAACCCAGTGTAAATATCCTACATGATTTCTCAAGAGAAACCAGCACGTTAAGTACCATATTATACTGCTTCAAAGCAGCAGCACTGTTGCAGGGCATATTTGACAGACCTGCTCCACTTTGTAAAACACATTAAAACGTAAAGACTTCAAGTGTCAAAATACCTCTTGGTCCAGCTCTGGCCACAACTCATGGTCATGTAACCAAGTTCTGCAACAATCACTACAAGCTGCTCTGACCAGCACAGGTCAGATTCAACCATCACTGCTGGCCTTTGGAATCACATCCTCAACTGACACCAGCTCCTTTGTTTGCTGTGTTTAGAGGTAACATGGGAGCCGGTAATAACCCCCAGCCAGATGGTTTGGGGATGGAGTTATGCGTCTGCGGGGTAGCCGCTCTCAAGGACCCCACACAAGTGGCAGTCTCCACGCAGGAGATGGTGTGTCACATCCCTGCGCTATCAGCAAGTAGGTGCTAAAGCCCTGCCTCCGGTTTGCACCTCCTAGAGAACAGTGAAAGCCCCCGGCCACAAGCAGGTTACAAAGGGGCGCGCATAAGAAAGGGGACGGGGAGGGAAAGCAGCAGCAGCGGAGCCAAACCACCGGCGGGTGCCCCCATTCCCACGGCACCGGCGCTCGGAGCTCACCGACACCAATGGGGCGGCGGCGGGCAGGATGCTCCGGGGCTCCGCTAGCGCCGGTCGCGGCCCTTCGAGGGGCCCGGCCCCGGCAGCATCACCGGGAGCGGACAAAAGGGCCCCAGGCCCCGCACCGAGGGGGAGGAGGGGTCTCGCTGACCCCGGGGCCGCTCCCGCGGAAGGGGACATCGCCCATAAAGGCCCCGCTGGACCCGAGGGGCTTCGGGGAGAGCCGCCCCCTGTTCCAGCCCAGGAACGGCGAAGGGCCCCGGGGAGGAGGAAGAGGACGAGGAGGGGACGCGGAGCACGGGGCGCGGCAGCCTCTTACCGGAGCCCCCCGGGAGGGGGGCGGCGAGGAACTGAAGGCGACAGCGGGATCCCGGGGCTGCCAAACGAGGTGAAGCCGGGGCAGCGCTGACGGGTGAAGGGGAGAAATGGAACCGGGACTACGGGAGCCCGTGCACCGCCACCGCCCCCCGCGCCAACGGCGACCCGGACGGGACAAGCGCCGAGGGGATCGCTGCGGCAGCGCGCATGCGCCACCATCCACGGCCACGCCCCCTGCCAGCGGGGCGGGGCTATTTCGCCCCGCCCCCGCGCGCTGCTTCGCGACCGCCCTGAGGGGACCGCCCAGATGAGTTCTAGAGGCAGCAGAGCGCATGCGCGGGGGCGGAGGGGCGGTCCCTACCTGGCGCGGTGCTGGTGGTGCGGAGGGTGGGCTCCAGCCGCCGCTTCTTCGCCGCCGGCCTTGCTGCGGGTACCTGCGTTGTGAGCTGCGGGCTGCTGCCCGTCCGTCCGTCCGCCTGCCCGTCCGCCTGCCCGTCCGCCTGCCCGTCCGCCTGCCCGTCCGCCTGCCCGTCCGCCTGCCCGTCCGCCTGCCCGTCCGTCTGCCCGTCCGCCTGCCCGTCCGCCCGCCCGCCTGCCTCCTGCCTCCCCCCAGAGCTCTGTTGTGCTTCCATCCCGCCTCCCCACATCGGCGCCGTGAACGAGGTTCCCATGTCAGCCTCATCTCCCTGCCCGGCCCTCTGTGAGGGGATGTCCGCAGGAGTGACCACAGGGACAGAGGGTACCACACCACCAGTGGTCACAGAAGCATGGAATCACGGAGTGGTTTGGGTTGAAGGGACCTTAAAGCTCCTCCAGCTCCAACCCCTGCCACAGGCAGGGACCCCTTCCACTAGAGCAGCTTGCTTCAAGCCCGTGTCCAACCTGGCCTTGAGCACTGCCAGGGATGGGGCAGCCACAGCTTCTCTGGGCACCCTGTGCCAGCGCCTCAGCACCCTCACAGGGAAGAGCTTCTGCCTTAGATCCAACCTGAACTTCCCCTGTTTCAGTCTGAACCCATCACCCCTTGTCCTGCCACTGCAGTCCCTGATGAAGAGTCCCTCTGCAGCATCCTTGTAGCCCCCTTCAGACACTGGAAGCTGCTCTGAGGTCCCCACGCAGCTTCTGTTCTCCAGGCTGAACAGCCCCAGTGTTCTCAGCCTGGCTCCATACAGGAGCTGCTCCAGGCCCTGAGCATCCTCATGGCCTCCAATGGACCTGTTCCAACAGTTCCATGTCCTTATGCTGGGACCCCCACAGCTGCACCCAGTGCTGCAAGTGGGGGCTCAGGAGAGCACAGCAGAGGGCAAGAATCCCCTCCCTGCTCTGCTGCTCATGCTCTGGGGATGCGGCCCAGCACACGGGGGGGGGTTCTGGGCTGGGTCATGTCCAATTTCTCACTGACCAACACCCCCGTGTCCTACTCAGCCCTGTGTGGAATGAGGATTTTGCTTCATTTTATTTACATTTCTACCAAAAGAAAAAAAAAGTGCAATTCACAGGGTGAAAAGGGTTTTATTACAACACCGAGGAGTCCTTGGGCTCAGTCCCTGACAAATACCTTCTGCACAGGCAGTTGAGGTCTGTCAGCAGCACAGGACTAACAGGGTTTGAAGCAGTGTGTATAGGCCCTGCGTGATGGAGACACTGATGTATTTGTAACACGCATGACATTTCATTTCTGCAATTAAACTGGACCTTGCTTTGCTCGGTTTGCTGTTAAAGGTGAAGAGCAGAAGCATGTGCTACCTGTCAGGAAACATGGGTGGCCTCCTCAAGCTGGTTTTCTGCTGAGAAAACTTGATGTGCTATGAGAGCTGTGGAGAGGATTTCACATGAACAAAGGGAAGTCCTGATTCAAAAGGCTCAAACAGGGACCCTGGAAGCTGATTTTCATCTCTTCCACCAGCAGAACAAGGGGAATGTCTGATGCTGTGGCTGGGAGGGGTGGGAATCATGGCTAGCTTCATGGCCAGGAGGAAAACCTGAGAGGTGAGAGGCTTAAAACTTTCTACATTCTGAAGAAGAAGGGGGAGAAACAACTTTGGACCTAAAGTATAAAAAAAGTTGTTATTACTGCAGAGCAGGGCAGTGAAATAGGGTCCATGTGAGGAGGCAACTGCTGCTTCAGGGCTCTGAACATCAGACTGCAAGAGAGCTGGTGAACACGCAGCTGAATGACCCCAACATCCTGCTGTGTGGGGGCTGCGAGAGCTCCAGAGAGCAGCCACAGGAACCGGGAAGGACCCTGCCATGAAGGAGACATTTCTGGTCCATGACAACCCATCCCAGTCCCAGTGCTTGGACAGCCTGCGAGGGAGGGAACCTCAGTGGTTGTGAGGGTCTTTGCTCAACAGCAAGGGGTCCTTAGGGGAACACATGGGTGTTATTTCTCTTCTGCAATTCACCTTTACAACAGAGCTTTTCCCTACACCATCACACGTCTGAAGGGATGGAGGGACTGAGGGTTGAGCCTAGTGGGAATAGTTCTGTGCCTGGCTGCCAGGATCTCTCCTGCCGCCTAGCTCTTTGACTGGAAGGAGGCCAGAAAGCTCTTGCAGGTTCCAGTTACCCTTTGGGCTCTTCATAGACTGCAGCAAATCCAGCTGCTTTAACGGGGGGAAGCCCTGCTCTTTTTCCATCAGCTCCAGCAGCTGCTTCATCAGGCTTGAAGTCTTGTCCCTGTTGATGCTGTTGTAGAGATCTGAGGGATCTTGGCTCTTCGGTGAATCCCACATGGCATTTGAAAGGGAAATATCCCTGCTGCTGGCTGTGTGCACACTGCCCAGGGCATTGTGGAGCCACATCAGGCGCTTCAGCCCTTGAAACTCCTTCCCTTTGTCATGCATGAGCTGGTGCTCGGTCACTGCTCGTTTACTGAAACAAGAAACAGTTACTGAGGAAGCAGGCACAGACAGATCTATGCTCCTATTTCAAACGTGGTTTGCAGCCATCAATCTTAGATGCTTTTCCAAGCTGAGGAAGGAGCGCTGGTAATGCCTGCCCACGATGTGGAGGCTTAAAATTGCTGTTAGAGATTTGGTCTTTCCTAAATCTGGGGTCTTTTCAGAGGTTTAAATACCAGAATTAAGTTCCCTTTTTATGACCTCAACGTTCTAGGATTGATGGGTTTTCTCTCCTTCCACAGCTGTAAGTCAGGAGTAATTTAACTGGAATCAGTGGTGTCCATGACATGCCAAATCCCAGGATGGTCTGGGTTGGAAGGGACCTTAGAGATCATCTCATTCCAGCCTCTGCCACGGGCAGGGAACCTCATTATTTTCTTTGGATATACCAAAAACTTTGAGCCAAATATTGACTGAGGAGGACAGGCTAATTCCAGGATGCAAATATTGCTGGATCTGGGGCTTTGTAGGTAACACCCAACTGCAGCTCTAGGCTCCCACTGCAGATTTAGATTGGAATGGGAACCTAAATACGGAATTTCAGCATGTGCCATTCCCATGGCTTGTGCTGAACAGCCCTACATGGTTCATTACACTGTGCTGAAAGGCATCAACTGAAATGTGGTGAGCGTTCCACATCTAAAATGCAGTTGGTCTAATTTTATACTGCATGGAAAGCAATGTAAAATGTTTCTGCATCAAATCCATAAGCATTTTCTTCCACTCTGGAATGACTGACAGCAGTTAGGATACAGCCCATTAAATCAAAGGCAGGTAGACCTCTAATGGCATTAGTAAAAGGATAGTGCTTACTTACTTTGCAGTGTCTTGACATGTTGCAAAACAAGAAAGAACTGCCAGCAGTGTAACCACCTGCAGAGATCTCTGGGGCAGGAACATCTTCCTTCTCTCTTCTTCAAACCTGCTCCACGGGACAAGAAGCTGACAGTATGATCCAAATCTTTTATTTTCTAGTCTTTCTTTCACCTGACAAAATGAAGTCCAGCCTTGAAGCACTGGTAGAAGGGGAGCGCTGTACTGCGGTACATCACCCCAGGAGCTCCCAGAGCATCGGATGTGTGGATATGTAACACAAATCAGTGAAAAACGAGCAGATTTCACAGTATAGTTCTCATTTCCTTGCTAACAGTCCTAATTCTCCTTTTCCAGTACTGCCTTTCAGTTTCCCACTCTTGTCCAGTTGCAAGCAAAGGAGATTTCATTTAGAACTGGCAAGATAAAAAACTTGGCAGAAATTTAACACAAAGACCAGCATTGCTCCTCAAATGGCTTTTCTTTACATTAGCTTGAATGCTGAATTCTCAATGACTGCACAGAAAGGCAAATTAAGCACCTGGGTGCAAAAATTTGGCTTGTTCTTATACATTTACTCCACTAATTTGTCACTTCCTTGGACAGTATGTTCACATTAAACTAGATATATATAAAGTAACAAATGGATATAAGTTCTGAGTAAAGATAGCTGTATTAAATACAGATATATACACATAAATATACACATAGATGTGTGTGGGTGATATTTTAGGTTATGCTAAGGTACAACTCCTGCTGATACACAGTAGGTAAGAGATACTTTCCTATTGTAAGCTATGTATGAATTAAAAAGCATCTTCCAGTTCCAAAAGTAACATTAGCTACTTACTGGTGATCCTGCAGAGCCCACAGGGAAGTTCTGCCCTGCACAGACGTGTCTCCTGCCCAGTCCTGTCACAACCTCCCAGTTGCAATGACACCAAGTGCCTTTCACCTGCTTTTATAGCAGCCCAGAAACAATAGACATGAGCTCCACAGCACGGTGTGACTAAGACCTTGCCTCTCGTGGCAGTGAAATGAGACAGCTCCCTGACTCCAGCGAGAATAAATCTTGGATTCTGACATGTTCTGTGACTAAGGGAAAGATCACACGTTTATGGACATCTTCTTACTCCTTTGCTGTCTCTCCTCAACCCAGGATGTTGTCTTGTGAGCACTTTTTATTCTAACACAGTGTTCCTGTGCCCCAAGGTGACGGAAAAGGCATATTCAAACCTGTTGTTGCAGGGTTCATCAGGAAAAATGTCTGATGAGATCCCCCTCCCCTGCTGTCCTCATGGACTTACTCATAGGTATCTAAATCAACAATACAGTGAGCTCTGTAGTGCCAGTAGTCATACAGTCAGCAACTGCCAAGCACTCAGGCAAAAAGCCAAATGCTGTGAAACCCCAGGAGCTGATGTCGTGTGAGGCTTGAGGCTCACTTCACAATCTCTAACCAGGTAACTGCCATAGGATTTGGATACTCAGGGTGTGGCTGGACCATTGGGCATAAGCACTCCTTAAGAGGACACTGGTTCCTGTTTCTCAAAGTAAAAGCAAGTGAATGTATTTGTCATGTCTGGGGGAAAGATCGGGAAGCTGATTTAGTGTTACCAGAAACTACTGATTCCTTTCACATAGTCTCAGCCATACGTTCCAGTTCAGCCCAGTCCCAGGTGAATGCAGGCACGTTGTCCAGACAGAGACAGTGCCCACACGACCTCCTCCATTCTCACAGCTTCTGTGCACAACAAATTGCTTTGATTATATTCCTGAGGACGGGTTATTTTGAGCCCTGCTATTTCAGAGCGATCAAATAATGTTCCTGAGTTCCTTACGTGAGTTAACAAGTGTCACTCATTAAAGAGAATGAAATATATTACCAATTAAAGATGACATTTATTAAATGCTGGTAAAACAGGGGCCTGCTTCGCATCTTGGTTACCAGGGTAGCAGTTACGCTGCAGTTACACTGAATATCGGCCCATGAAAACAAGGTTTCTTAGTTACATCTGCAAAGACTAATGAGCACTGGCCAAAGTCATGTCCAAAACGTGGGGTCTAATTCATCCTTGAACTTTTTGAGTCTCCATGCAGTGGGTTTTACCATACGCAGTTATTGGCATCTCTGCAGGAAGAACTAATCCCACGGTGATGTGAGTGGCTGCTGACAGGACAGAGACTGACATGGGGTCGGTAAATGGGCACTTGACGCATTCTGTGCTGGCCAAACCACGTTGCCTCGTCTACACTCCTCCACTAGGTATTTCTCCCTACCCAAGGACTCGGAAGTAGTCAAAATAACCTTGGTTGTGATTCTGTAACATGTCCCTGAGAGATGGATGTGAGGAGAGGCTGTGCTGCAGCTATGATTTATCTTTGAGAAGCATCTGCACAAAGACTATGGGCACCAGCAGCATGGTAGGAAAGATGCTGCAGGGATTGATTTCCATCACTTGCAATATTTCATAGAATCCCAGACTGCTTTGGGTTGGAAGGGACCTTAAAGCTCCTCCAGCTCCAACCCCTGCCACAGGCAGGGACCCCTTCCACTGGAGCAGCTTGCTCCAAGCCCCTGTGTCCAACCTGGCCTTGAGCACTGCCAGGGATGGGGCAGCCACAGCTTCTCTGGGCACCCTGTGCCAGCGCCTCAGCACCCTCACAGGGAAGAGCTTCTGCCTAAGAGCTCAGCTCAGTCTCCCCTCGGGCAGGTTCAAGCCATTCCCCTTGGCCTGTCCCTACAGGCCCTTGTCCCAAGCCCCTCTCCAGCTTTCCTGCAGCCCCTTTAGGCACTGGAGCTGCTCTGAGGTCTCCCCTTCAGGAGCCTTCTCTTCTCCAGGCTGCCCCAGCCCAGCTCTCTCAGCCTGGCTCCAGAGCAGAGCTGCTCCAGCCCTCGCAGCATCTCCATGGCCTCCTCTGGCCTCGCTCCAACAGCTCCAGGTCCCTCTTGTGCTGCTGCCCCAGAGCTGGATCAGGGCTGCAGGGGGGGTCTCCCCAGAGCACAGCAGAGGGGCAGGATCTCCTCCCTGCTCTGCTGCTCACGCTCTGGGGGTGCAGCCCAGCACATGGGGGTTCTGTGCTCAAGCGCTCACTGAAGCTGGGTCATGGGGAGCTTCTCATCGACCAACACCCCCAAGTCCTTCTCCTCAGGGCTGCTCCATCCAGTCTCTGTATTTGTGCCTGGGATTGCCCTGACCCAGGGGCAGGACTTTGCACTTGGCCTTGCTGAACTCCATGAAGTTCTCATGATCCCACCTCTCTGGATCCCATTCCTTCCCTCCAGCATGTCAAGTAAACCACACAGCCTGGAGTCAGCAGCAAGAACATTTTCTAAAGACAGTATAAACCGTGTTGACTGCTCAGCTTATCCCACAGCCACACACGCAGCAGATACATTTCCAACTCTATGGGAACGTTGCTAATGTCACAGTGAGAAACTGTACAAACAGCAGCTCCGGGTGGTATTTTTAGCTGGTGTGGATGGATCTCTGCGAGCGCCTGAGCAGCGTGCAGCAGACTGAGAGCCCATTGTGCCAGGGATGTCGGGATTGCGTTACCTTGGGGCTTCCCTCAAAGCACACTTGGAGCCTCCAGTGGTTTTAGCCTTGCTCCAAAGCCTTCGCTCCCACCCTGTGGCTTTTCCCCGTCTTCAGGCCTCACTTTGCATCCGAGGGTGGCTTTGCTGTGCAGTCCCCTGTAGGCAGGAGTGTCTGAGCAAGGCAGGGCTGTGCCAGTCACCGCTTCCCAGTGAGTGATTCTTTTGTTTTGCTTTTTCCAGGCCTCTTCCCCTGGGAGCCAGGTGGGAGAGGAAGGGAATGGGGCTTACTGCAGAGCCTGAAAAGGGAAGAGAAAGCCCGGAGGCCCCGTTGAGGGGAAGAAGGAATAGGGGGAGGGCGCAGAAAGCAAAGCCAGTGTGCACAAAGCCAGAGTGCAAACAGGCTCGGTCGGGCGAGGGGAGCCTCTTCCCTCGGGTTTGAAAACTTCATTAACCAGACCGTGCCGCATCAGTGCGCTCCTGTCTGCGGGGGGACGGACCCACAGCTCGGATGCTTGTTTTCCACGTACTCTTCTCCGTTACTCCCAGTAACAGGCGGGGGGGTCTGCGGAAGGCTCCGCGCTTCCCTCCTGTACAAACGGGTTTGGGTTTGTCGGGTTTCTTTCCTCCCAGCCCAAACCCTGCGCGGAGGAAGCGGTTTGACCGCGCTGGGACGGCAAACGGAGCTCCTCCGAGCAGCTCCACGGCTGCTCCCTTCCTGGCCTCCCTGATGCCCAGGGGAGGGGAAGCGGCCGCTCGCTGCACACCCGGAGGCCCGCAGGGCTTTCTGCATCGCTGCCCCCGTGGCAATGCGGGGTCTCACCGGCCGCCGCCCCGGCAGGAAGGAGCAGCACAAGCGCCTCGGTACCCATTGAAAGGGATGGAATTCAGCTCCTAAAGCGCAGGCTGCCGGTCTCCCCTCGGTCTGGGTGCTCATGTAGCAGCACCTTAATGCTGGGGGCGGCAGTCGCATGCAATGCAGAGATGTAAGAAACCACTGTTGTGTGATTCTGTGCAGGGCTGCATGGGCAGCTTTAAATCCTGCCCTAATCCACTCCATACTGCATCATCCCGGAGAGAACTCCCGTCTTCCAGGGGATCAGAATCAGAGCTGCACAGCAGTGAGTCAGGCTCGGTGGTAATTTTCCGTTTTCTGATTCCAAGGCAGATTTGCCTGAGCTCTACCTGAACACAGCAGTGAGGGAAGGGGCTCTGTGCTGCACAGCCAGCCCTGGAGCCAAGCCTGGGGCTGACCCTTTCCTTCCCTTCCCAAATAGCATCCGGAATATTTTCTGCGTGCAAAACAAATTCAGGTGAAGCTGAGACAAAGCCTCAAGTCCCTTTGTGCTGCTGCTGGAACCCCCACAGGGCTCTCAGAGCTTACTCCTGGGTCCGTGGTGTTGCATCATGGCTGGAGCAGTATGCTGAGAACCTCGACCGAGCAGAACCAGAATGGTCCTAAGGTCCTTTCCAACCCTAACCATTCTATGATTCTAAAAGCAAACCAAGGTACAAGGAGAGGCATCTCCCAGGGCCCTGGGGCTGCCCCTCACAAAGGGGAGAATGAGAGGGGAATGCTGCCATCCAGCACCCAAACCTGGGTTTGCTGGCCAGGGAGGAGGTGGGCAGGTAGGTGCTAATGCCAGGTGAGTTGGGGCAGCCCTGAATCCTGCCTGAGAAGCCAGGGAGCCCTGAGGTTACCTGTGGATCAGCTCTTTTGTCCCCAGGCTTTATGTAGAGGGGATGCCCAGTTGCTAATGTCTGTAGGACTAAGAAGGTGTTTCCTAAAGGACCAAACTGGCCAATGTCTGGTTTGGATTTCTTATGTCTCTATAGTGCCAGCAAGTGGTGTACTGGTCCTGAGGGGAGCAGTGCATCAGTCTGCCACCATGCAAAGGTGGTGGTCAGCACCCAGCCCGTAGATGTGATGGAGGTTGGACCCCACCAACAGCAGAAGGCTCACACATGGAAAGGTGGGGATGACTGCTGAGTCACCAAATGATGTGTCTGTCCTTGAAGTAAATGGACTTTGTGCTAGCTAATCCCCAGCGCTGAGTCTCGGGACATGGCTGTGCCCCTGTGCTGGATGCAGAGCTTGTCTCAGTTTGGGTCTATTATGTATAAACTACAGTCTGCTGTTTCACTCTGCCTTTACTTAAGGTTTGAGGCTGAGCTGAAGGCTGTCACAGTGCAAAAATGAATGTATTTTAATACTGAGGGAATAAAGAACAGGGCTTGTACCCTGTAAACAGAAGAGCGCTCGTGGTAGGAATAAGCTTACGCGAAAGATGAGGCAGGTTTAAGTCACTGTTTCTTCAGAAAATAGCCTTCATCAAGATTCGTCTGTTGTCAGGGTGTGAAAATGGGCTGAATCCACAAGAACATCCCAAGCAGCCAGCTGAGTGTGACTGCATGCAGTCACTTGTCTGAGTGAAGCAAATGCCTGTCCCTCAGACCAGTCCTGTTGTGTTCCTGTAATGACGCTTCCAAGCAAAAGCCCTTTCTGT